GGTAAAAATTCCAAAATTTTCAATATTGGGAAAAACTACATCATGGAAAGCAATGAATGATGTATTAGTTTTTCATCCCTGTGCCCAAAATATCCAATACAGACAACTTGAAGGAAGACAGGTTTATTTTTGACTCATGCTTTCAGAGGCATCAGTCTAGCTCCATCATTTTGGGCCTGAAGCAAGGCAGAACATCATGGCAGAAGGGTGTGGTGGAAGAAGACTGCTCAGCTCAAGGCAGCTGGGAAGCAGAGAGAGAGGCAAGGGCCAGGATATAGTCCCCAAGGGCATGTTCCCCATGACCTCTTTACTCCAACCATGCCCCACCTGACTACAGTTTCCATCCCCTCCTAGTAGTCCATTCAAATGAATTAATCCACCAAATGGATTAATCCACTAGGAGTGTACTTAGAGCCCTCAAGATCCAATCACTTCCATAATCCCATCTCTGTGCATCACTACATAGGGGATCAAGTCTTCAACACACGGGAGACTTTCCAGATTCAAACTTTAAAAAAATAAGAAAGCCAGTAAATTGTCTCATTACATCTAAGTAATTTGCAATGTTTATGTGCAACTGTTATGAAAATATCCTTAAAATCGAGAAGTAATGATGTAAGAAAAATAAGAAGGAGTATACCTGGGTGGGGTGAGAGGTAGGGGAGAAATCAAAGCACATTAATGTTTTTATCTTATAGAAGCAGAAGATGACATGAGTTTTGGAGAATTTTAATACCAACAATATATAAATTCAAACAAGTTTATTCAACATTTAAAGATAACTCCTTACCAGACAGACCACCAATCAGACCTCCATATGTCACTAATTTCTAACCCCACAGACCTCCACTCATTGACTTCTAATATTCCCCATCTTTGATGGTCACAGGCCTTCCAGTCATTGAGCCAGGACAGCTCTCTTTAATCATGACCCAATGATTCCAAAATGACCCACCCCAGCAATCACAGCAGATCTCCCCAATCGCTTGCCCCCAGACAACCCAATCACATATTCCCATAGGTTCCTCAACCATTTACACCCATAGGGCACATGGATCTCTATCTCCCATGTCTCCAAATCCCTCAGCCTATCACTGAGCCTAATTACTAACACCACCAGGACTCTCAAACAGCAGCCATTACAGAATCCTAACTGCTGTCAGTACTCTGCCCTCAACCTCAACCTCTTTAGCCATTGTTATCACCTACTAGCTTTATCTAAAATCCACCTGTATCCTAGGCTCCTGCTTCCTTACAGTGGCCTCAAGTGGAGGTTGTTTCCTCGCCCCCATGACTTATGTACCTCAAGGTCCAAAGATGAGGTAAATAATTACCTCCATCTACCTTCACAATCCCTACCTTGTTTAGATTGTCACTAGACTTCAACCCATTAATCTTTCTTAGTTTGATGATCCGTAGGAGAAACTCACAGAACTCAGCACATAGATGTATTCATAGCTATGATTTATTACAGCGAAAGGTTGCAAAACAAAATCAGTTAATTGGCATGAGACGAACTCAAGATGAAACCAAGCACAAGCATCCAAGAGTCCTCTCCCATAGGAGTCATAGGGAACATGTTTAATTCGTCCAGAATTGAGTTCTGGCAACACATGTGGGATGTTTTCTATCAGGGAAGCTCATAAGAGACTCAGAGGCCAGGGTTTTTATTGGTGGCGATACAGGGATCCTGTGCTTGCATGAACATAAAGTCTAAACTCCAGAAGGGAATCAAGTGTTCAGCATAAACCACATTATTTATATTCATTAGCCATAGGGAGCCTCTCCCATCATTTCTGGGACTGTTGGGAATCCTGATGAAATTTAATTTCCCAGATGCCACCCTAAGGTCAACCTTACAAGAAGGTCTGTCGAAGGACAGCAGTTTTAGGCCTGCTGTGTGAACCCTTCTGAAGTCATCCTGCCTCATTCACTGAAAACTTTAGCACTAGCTTACTCTTTGCCAGAGCTCCTGCCATCATTCATTCTACTACCTCCATATCCATGAAGAAGAGCCGTTCAATAGCCTAGCCTCTCTCTTTCCTGATGCCAACAATCTTTTCTTGCATAAACTCAATCACATACCCATCACCCCCCACATACACCCCTTATATCTTGCCATCACTATGCCACCTACAAAATCTCTACCTAAAACATTCTACCCCTGACCATCATTTCCTGCCAGCCCACTTGCCCTAGCACTCCTACTTCATTCTCCAAACTCACTGAACCCTCTGCTTCACGGGTCCCAACCCCTTTTTCACAATCTTCTGCCCCACATTGCCTTTACCGACTTTCATTCTTATTTAGAGTCCATAAACAAGCACCACACATACGCCACTGAAAACTTTAAAGCTTAACTTCCTTGCCCCTCCCCACCACACTCACTTATTGAAGTGTCAACCCTGGCTAAATCTAATTCTCCTCTTGCAATCTGCCTGTAATCTTGCAGCTGAACATTGCAAGAAAAAAATCAAACAACTGTACTGACTGGACTCACTTCAGATTTATATACATATCTCAAATGGACATCCAAAACCATAGCAATCGGAGTATTTACCCTTTCCTCCTTCCAGGATATTACTGCAAACCTCTTTCCTGAAATCTCCAACATCCACTTCTTTCCCATTCTCAGCTGATAAATTTGCCTTATACTTCAAAGACAAAATAAATGCAAACAGACTAGAACTACCTTGCCCTTTAATCACCAATTCTACCAACCTGTTTCCAAATCCATAGGTAAGGTGCATTCCCTTCTGAGGAAATGGAAGAAGTCTTTTTCCTTCTCTCACTAAGGCCAGTTTTTCCACTTGTGTTTTTTCTTTCTTTCTTTCTTTTTTCTTTACTTTTTCCTATTTTTTGAAACTGGGGGTGAAACCCAGGGATCCTTTACCACTGAGCTACATACCCAGTCCCCCTCCTTCTGTCGTTTTTGATTTTTGTCTGTTTGTTTGTTTATTTATTTTTGTTTGAAACAGGGTCTCACTAAGTTGCTGAGGCTGGCCTTGAACTTGCAATCCTCCAGCCTCAGCCATATGAATTGCTGAGATTAAAGGCACATTCCATTGTTCTGGATCCATTTGGGTTCTAGATCCCATTCCCACCTGCCTTCCAAAGGACCTCACTCCTACAATTACCTTTTCTTTTTTGTATCAACTATTTTTTCTCTTTCTGCTGGATCATTTCCATTGACATACAAAGTTGCCTTAATGCTATTTATCAAAGAAAACCCTGTCTTTCTGATTGAGGTAGGTGGCACAAGTCTATATCCCAAACAGGAGGATTGCAAGTTCAAAGCCAGCCTCAGCAACTCAGTGTAACTTTCAGCAATTAAGGGAGACCCTGTTTCAAAACAAAACAAAATTTTAAAAGACTGGGGATGTAGCTCACTGGCAAAGTGTCACTAGGTTTATCCCCACCACAAAAAAGAAAACCCTCTCCTGACTTCATGCTCCATCCAACGTTAATTTCTCTACTTCTTTTACCAGCAAAATCCCTCATAAATTGTCTTAACTTACTGTTTGCACTTCATTTTCTCTGATTCTTTTAACTCACTCCAACAGGATTTTATTACCAGCTCTTCCTGAAACAGTTCTAGTCAAAATAACCATGGAGCTACATCATGGCAGAGTCAAATTCTCGGTAGTCATATTTTGGGATTCACAAAGAGCATATAACATAATTGGTTACTTGCATTGTATTGAAAAAGCTTTCTCTATGTTTCTTTGACCCTACACAAGTTTTCCTCCTACTTCTGGGCCACATGTCATTCTCCCTGGCATAAGATAGGTGTTTACCTTACAATCTGTCTGTTTCTAATCATTGATACCCAAACACTCATCAGTCACTAACATTCACAATCTTCCCCTATTTCTGGAACCCTACAAGTTCCCAATTACCATTCCTCACAAAACAATCAATCATTAACCTCCATAGAACTCCAATCACTGACCCCTACAGAACTTTCCATCACTAAACCCTGCAATTCCTCACATTCCTGACCCTTTCAGGATCCTAGTCCCAGAATCGTCGAGGACCTTCAGTCATTAATTCCTACTAATCACCTCCTCACTGGTAGCACAGTTATGCCACCACCTAATCACTGGCCATCTCTTCTCCCAGATGGCATGCAAACCCTCCACCATCCACATTCCACCAACCCCTGTCCTCCCACTGACATCCTGGTTCCTCCATTACCCATAATATCACACTAATCACCACCTTTTACAGATAATGCTAATTAGACTTCCACAAACATGACCACCACAGACCCCCAAAGCCCGGACCTCTGATCCTCATAGTACTCCCCATCACCCCGGTCCCCAACTCTAACACTGCCCTTCTTGGATGATCTAGTCTCTAGCCATCCACTATCAGGTACCCACAATCGCTGGCTCCCCCAGGCCTTCCCAATCTCTGACACTCTACAAAGCCCCATTTCTGATGCCCCCAGATTTGGAAACCCGGACCTGTCAGTGACAGCCGCAGCCTCCTGCCCATCACTGCCTTCTCAGATGCCTGGAAACGCTGATCTCCTTAAACTATAGCAATCACCGACCCGGATCCCTCCGAGCACCGACCTCCAGAAAGACCCTTCAGCATCGACTCCAATTCCCAAACCTTAACTTCACCGACCACAGTAACCCTCCAGTCACTGACCATCTCTGACAGCCAAACCGCCCCCAGCCCATAGCCGTTCTCACCGCGCCGCTGGCCTTGGGCTCGGACGCAGCCATCTCGAGTGGACGCCCGGCCTTTCGGGCCTTTCCCGCACTCTTCTTCAGATCCTCCGTCTCGGGCTTTGTCCAGATCTGGCTGCAGCCAGAGGCCGACATGGCGGCCACCGGCAGCGCGGCCTCGGTGGGCCCGGGCTGCGATGGCGGCGCCCGTGAGCTTTCGCCCGTTTCGCCCGTGGGCGCTGCCATCTTGGCCGAAGCCCTCCGTACAGCGGGGGCGCGGGGGCTTCTGGGACGCCCTCAGGGGACGCGGGGGCGGGAGCCCGTGACGCAGGGGTCCTGAAGCTGCGCAAGGCTAGCGGGTGGGAACCGGTGCATGGCACCGCACCCCTAGCAGAGACTTCTGCTTGCAGAATTCAGAGTTGCTTTTCCGAATAAGTCTGTGCAGCCAACTGCCGTGTACCCTGCAGAGAGAGAAGAAATCGGAGGGGAGTGGGAGAGAAAAACTCGATTTGACAATATCGATTTATAGGGAGAGGACGTTAATCCTGGAGACGTGATAAATCTTTTCCTGTAAGGCGAAAAAAGTGGAGGAGCGTGCTAAATGAACAGACCCATCTCGTGAGAGTCTGCGATTGGTTGGAGACATTTCAGCAGAAAAAGCGATCGATTGGAGCAGAAGTAATTTCTCAGTGCGCTGTTTCGTGTGTTCATTGCGTTCATGGAACAATTATTTGGTGAGCTTTTACCCAGCAAATATGTACGTCCGAAGCGCGTGCCACCCTAGGTACTGGAGAGGGATCAGAGACCCAGCCCCAGCCTCCTTTCTTTGCTGGAATTTACAGCAGGGCAGAGAGATGGCGAGGTTATCACCTTTTTACCCTAGTCAAGTGTACCCTGTTTTGCACCTTCCTTTGATGAATAAACCACTAGTTATCCCAGCGGAGGCTGCATCAGCTGTTGTTGACTTCTCTTTTATTTGCATATAATTCTCAGGACTTCTTCACTGAGCTCATAAGAAAGACTCCTCTAGACTGCCTACCCTCATGACAATTTTTGCCTAGTCTCCCTAATATTATTGAACATTTTCTAATGTGTTGTTGTTGTTGTTGTTCCAGAAATCAGAGTTATATGTTTCCCATTTATTTGAAAACAACCCCAACAATGATTTTTTTCCTAGACTTCTGACATCACCCCTTGAATATAGCAAAGCAAGTTATATAATTAAATATTGTGGTTAACAGAATTCAGCATGGCCTCCATTGTCTCGGCCTTCTGGTGAGATATCCTTTTAACATACCCTCTTTGGTGCGGGATAAACCTGTGATTTGAGGAAATATCATTCCACAATCAGGCCCCAAGTCAGTCCACTTTAAATTCATAAAATGGTGATTTTCCTGAATGGGCCTGGCCTAATCAGGAACCTTTAAAAGGGACTGTACCTTTCCTGAAGTCAGATTCCAAAGGTGAAGAGGGCCTGTGGAGGGACACTTGGCCAGGACCTGGGTCCAGTCTCTGTTTGCTGAGAGTGGTTTTTGGTTTACAGCTAAAAAAAGCCACAAGGGCCTTAGTTCTACAACTGCAAGGAAATGATTTCTGCCAATGATCTAAGGGAACTTGGAATACTATCTTTTCTTAGGGGAACCTCTAGATTAGGATACAACCCAATGAACACCTTGATTTCAGTTCTGTAAGACACTGAGCAGAGAATCCATCTGTATTAGCTAGCATTCTCCAGAGAAACATAGATACATATAGGTACATATAGATGTGGAAGGAGATTTATTATGGGAATTTGCTCATGCTATCATGAAGGCCAGAGATGTGATTCAGTCTGAAGGCCAGGGCAGGAGAGGTCTAGCATAAATCCCAGAGTCCAGAGGCCTGAGAACTGGGAGCTGCTGTGTCAGAAGGTAGAAGATGAGTGTCCCAGCTCCAGAAGAGAGAGTTCGCCCTTCCTTTGCCATTTTTCCCCCTCATCAGACCCTCAATAGATTGAATGATGCCCACTGATGCTGATAATGGATAACATTGCCAATATCTTCCCCCAAACACTGTCAGGTATACCTAGAAATAATTGCACCTATTAGGTAGTAGTTAGTAACGGGCAATGGAATGCATAGCAAGGTCATTGGTTTACTTTAAGTTACTCTTAAAGTTGTCTTTAAGTTACTGTCAAGGCTGATGAGTAAATAATTTGTAGCAGATAACCTGTAGAAAAACATAGGTACACAAACTTTCAGGATAAACAAAAGTAAAAGGAGCTTTGATTGGGGGAATACATCAAGAAAGAAGGATTTATGGGATTAACTTTCGACAGGACCTATAAAGTTCAAAATAAAATTAGAATTATGACCCAAGGGTCTCCTACTATCTCAGAAGGGGGATTCTTTAGTGGCACAGGCATAGCATGGTAACCTCTGACCCATAACTGACCTGTCACACTGACCCCAGTATCCACATGAATAGGACTGACTTGTCGATGAAGCCCCCCCACCCCCGAAATAGGATGGCCACCATGACAGTTCCAGAGAGGACCAACTAAGGTCAAAAACTCCAGTGCAGGAGGCAAGAGAGGAGTTGAACTCCTGATTGGTGCATGTTGCTGAAGGAGGACCCCAATTCTCAAAACAACCATAAAACAGCAATAAATTTGAAGATGACAAGAGTTTCCTTTGTCATTCTCTGCTTGGAGACGGCCACTCTCCCTTGAGAGTGCTCTCTGCTTGAGCCTCGCTCTACTGTCACCCCAATCTCACCTCACTTCCATGTTATCTTCACTTATAATAAATTTCTCTTACAGGACTTTCAGTGTCTGACTTTAAGTTTTCTTTCATTGGAACACAAGAATGGAGGTTTGGAGACTTTGCTCCCTGCTCTCCTGTGACACATCCAATTATCTGGACATCCTCTAGCTCAATACATTGACACTTAAAATTGACTATCACACCAGCCTTGGTGTGCTCAGACTTCCAATCTATGGAAAGTGTGAGATAATAAATTTGTGTTGTTTTAATCTAGTAAAGTTGGTTGTAGGTTGTTATACAGTAAAAGAAAACTAAAACTAATTGAAGGATGAAAAAGGATTGATATGATTGAGATCCCTCTTCCCCTACTTGGGATATAGTCCCCTTCTCTCTATCCCTGACACAGTATCCTATGATCCTCATCTTTCTGGATGTGAGCAGTTGTTTCTCCTCAGACTTTAACTGTTCCTGATATCACAGCTCTGATCAAGTCTAAAGCTTACATTTTAAAAGAGTTTTCTGGCCAGGCAGCTCGGGTGGCTGAGACCGGAGGATCTCCAGTTCAAAGCCAGCCTCAGCAATGGTGAGGTGCTAAGCAACTCAGTGAGACCCTGTCTCTAAATAAAATGCAAAATAGGGCTGGGGAAGTGACTCAGTGGTCAAGTGCCCCTGGGTTCAATCCCTGGTACCCCCCCCCATCTCCCCCAAAAAAGAGGTTTGTTTCCTGTCTTCTGTCAGATAAATCAGAGGGAGGAGAGGCAAGTCAGTTTATTCAAGTTTCTCTTTAACCCCAAGATTCCCCCACACATCCAAATTCCAGCATATTTATCAACAACATTCTCTTTTAAACCTTAACAATTTTCTAAGCTACTTTGATTTTAGCCTTGACCATTCATCTGCAGGCATCCCTTGTGGGTCCAAGGGATTGCAGAAAAAGAGCTGCGTGGAAAGCATAGAAGAGATAAGGTAGCGACCTTCCTGCACTGAAAAGGAGAGAGAAAATCAAAGAAAGGAGAAATTGGAAAAGAGTAAGTGAGGAGAAAAGGGGAGGTTGGTAGGAATAGGATATGGTGTGGGAGGCCAACCTTATGGGTGACTGAGTTACACTCCCCAGCTGGGTGCTGAGGCGCTCAGTCACAGAAATGGGTGTGTCTTGCTACAGCCCCATGGGTGAAGCTACGCTCACCTGTTCCTTTGTAATATAACCCCTTGCACTGTTTAGGATAGAATCTTCCATGGAAGTGCCTTGTGTGTGTCCCCTCCTCTTACTGTGCCCTTGGGTGTGGCCTACCCAGGTGTCAGTCAACCTGCTGACAGTGGGCATCATGAAGATAGACTCAGCCCCTGAAACCTGACCCCTTGCCTCATTTGAATAGTTTCTCCTCAATAAAAGGGGTCAGCGCGTGCTCTCGCTCTCTCTCTTTCTGTGGACCCTTAAGGTCAGAGGAGCCGTCACAGCAACCCCAAAGAAAAAGGTATTTGTGTCTCTTGTGTGGTTATTTCGTACAGCCCAGTTAGCCCAGTTTATTTATTTTTTTTTAATTTTTTATTGTGGGTTGTTCAAAACATTACAAATTTCTTGACATATCATATTCCACACTTTGATTCAAGTGGGTTATGAACTCCCACCTTCACCCCATACACAGATTGCAGAATCACATCAGTTACACATCCATTGATTTACATATTGCCATACTAGTGTCTGTTGTGCTCCGCTGCCTTTCCCATCCTCCACCCTCCCCCCTCCCCACCTCTCCCCTCCTCTCTCTCTACCCCCTCCACTGTATAACCCTGAGGGTCTCCTTCCATTACCATGCAATTTCCCTTCTCTCTCCCTTTCCCTCCCACCTCTCATCCCTGTTAAATGTTAATCATCTTCTCCTGCTCTTCGTCCCTACTCTGATCTTAGTTACTCTCCTTATATCAAAGAAGACATTTGGCATTTGTTTTTTAGGGATTGGCTAGCTTCACTTAGCATAATCTGCTCTAATGCCATCCATTTCCCTGTAAATTCTATGATTTTGTCATTTTTTAATGCAGAGTAATACTCCATTGTGTATAAATGCCACATTTTTTTTATCCATTCGTCTATTGAAGGGCATCTAGGTTGGTTCCACAGTCTTGCTATTGTGAACTGTGCTGCTATGAACATCGATGTAGCAGTGTCCCTGTAGCATGCTCTTTTTAGGTCTTTAGGGAATAGACCAAGAAGGGGAATAGCTGGGTCAAATGGTGGCTCCATTCCCAGCTTTCCAAGAAATCTCCATACTGCTTTCCAAATTGGCTGCACCAATCTGCAGTCCCACCTAGCCCAGTTTAACTAGAGTGACCCCTGAGCCTTTTAGTCGTGAGAACAGAAACCTGGCAATATGGGATGGTGACCTGGGACAAAGAGGTCCAATCACTTTTCAACAGGTCAGAGTCAATCAGTGTCTTACTTCAGGATAAATAGGAAAGGAGAAAAATCTTGTAGTTGAGTCAACTTTGGAAAGATGTAAGAATTAGCATGTGGGTTATATGTTTACGTGTGAATTTTTGTTTATGTAAGGATATTTTCAAGTGAAGACTGAAAAAATTGTAATATCAAAGAACTTTCTGGGACATTGAGCCAAGAAGCCTGAGAACCTTTTTTAAAATTCTGTTGTCTCCTTGGTGTTGGCTCAACTGTACATTCAGGTCTAGGTACCTGAGTTTCTAAATTCATCTCCTAAATGTTGGCTCTTGGCCATGGGGAATTTCCTACAATAGTGTCTAGGAAATGCCCTATAAACTGTTAGAATTTACCAGAAAAAGGAGAGAGAACTGTGTGATCCCATATATCAATGCTTTCTCATTAATTAATTTATTTATTCATTTATGTAATAGCTCATTACTCAATCAACAAATATTTTTGGAACATCCACTATGTCCTAGGAGACAGACATTGAGGACATAATAATAAAAATATTAAAATATGATTCTTATGTGGAGATAGGGATTCAGGAGAGGAGATGAGCATTATTAAGGTAAGGGCACAACTAATGTAGATTTATAACTGTGACAAGTGTCGCGACCCCTTGCCCGCAAGGAAGACGCAACTTGGGAATCTTCTTTCAACAGTTTATTCAGGCCCCTGATATTTCTTCTTCTCCTTCTCGGATGCCCCTCCCAGCCTTAATAAAGCATCTCAAGCCCAATGCGAAGCTGCTACGTGGAGCTTTCTCATAGGGTGGTAAGGGATTGCGTGCCAATTCTCCATATAAGGAGTTGTTTATCACAGGCCACAGTGGAAGCCGGCGCCATCTTCTAATGGCGGCCACAGTCTATTAGAACGGCTCACCACAGTTCCCCCTTCTGTTTATAAAACAATGCAGGCGAAAGTAGAGGTCCTATCCCACTGTGCAGAAGTGGCTGCAATGTATGGTTCAGTCCTAAGGAGGCGCCTTCCCCAGACCTGACCCCATATCAGCCGACGCCTTTTTTCGTAGGGCGGGGCGTGGACGTCAAACCCGCATGCAATAGGACATGCTTTCCTTGAGGTCCACGTCAAGGATCACTCAAGTGCAGTGCCTTGCCTTGCATCCTGCATTGTGATGATGGTGGACGAAGGGGGATAGCTGAGGCTGAACTGTGGCTGTTTATAATGACAAACAAGTTGACAGCACCCTGAAAGAAAGGCATGGACTTTAAGGCGATAGAAAAGCACTAGTGTGGAAACCCATCTGCGTGCAATGGCAGTAAGACCGGCAGAGTGCAAGGGCTTTCCAACACTAAGAGAATAACAAGGAAAGTCATGTCGATCCCAGTGCAATGTTATAATAACTTGGGGTGTAACGACCATGACAAAGGTTTACTGCTTAAGATGCGCAAGCCAGACTTGAGGCGAGTTGCCATTTTCTAAAGCTGCAAGAGCTTGTATGATCATAGCCTTTTCTTGTGCATGGCGAGTTTTAAGGCGACAGAGAAGCCACAAACAAAGTACAACACCGAAGCAACACATAGCACCAAAAATGCCTACCCCCACCCACTCTTTGAAGAAGGAAAAAGCAGAAGATATCCAATCGGTGAATTGACCCAAAGTCACGGGATCGACACGGGTACTGTTCAAGACAGCTATCTGGGTTAGTTGAGACTGGATCATGTTTTCTGCTTCCATGGACCAGGTTCCGGATAAATATTCCCCGATGATGTGGGAGGCATTTCTGGAATCATAAAATCTGACAGAGGTTATACATAAATGTGCACGTTGATCAACACAACCCAAATGTACTAGGTCAGACAATTCCTCAACTTGAGCTTGAAGCAGATCTATCCTTTGATTAGCAGCCAGAATCCCAGATAAAATGTGTTGATTAATTCTACTTTGAGATTCAAGTATGGTGGATGTTTGTTGAATAACCTGATTAATAGTGGCAGCAGTTTGTACCTGGCTGGCCATGGCTACTCCAGCTATAACTGCTGCAGCAGCAGATACCGCCACAGCTGTCACTATGGCTGCCGTAATTCCAAAATCTCTATGGGCTCTAATCAGTTCAACAATAGGAAATGACTCTGGATCTGCAGTAACCGGGATCGGGACAAAGGTTGGAAATTTCATAACCATTGCCGTAGTCCAGGAGCCATTCCAACACTCAGACAAATAACAGGTAATATTAGAACAATTAAGCATCCCCTGTAATGTAACATTAGCCAAAAGAAACAGGAACGGAGATTGGAGACGGACTGCTGCGGAGGGTAATGTAGCATTAGATAATTGTGAATTATTTGCAGAAATTTTAAGCCTCCTACCTCGCTCCGAGTCTTGGGTACTGCCAGAAACATTAAACAGCCAACTTTGGACTCCTAATATTTCCCTGGGGAAACACAAGCGCGGACTAGACTAGCCCAATCTGAGGGAGTCATGCAAAATCTAATAAGTCCCTCCACCTGAGTGAGAGTGAAAGCGGCATCTATGCCATAAGTGCGGACAGATTCTGCCAAGGTTTTAATTATCTTAAAGTCTAAAGGCTCATGATATCTTCCCCTGTTATTGTCCTGAAATACAGGGTATGCAAGTCCCATATCTGTATTAACTGTCCTCCAAACTTGTGCATGAAAAGATCTCCCGGAACCTTGGCTCCCCCCACATACGGAGGTGGGGCAATCGGCACCATATCTTCTTCTAGATATTCTACCTCCTCCTCCTCAGAGTTTTGTTGACCGATGTTAACTCCCTTCCCCTTCTTACAGTAGGCCTGCGTGCCCTGTGTCTCCTTTTTCTTCTTTTTCATTTTTATCTTATGTAGTTGTTGTAACAATATATCAAGGTCCTCAGAACTCTCTGAGTCGCTTGTGTTCTCAGGCGTTTTTAATTCGGTCAAGTCTGGGTAGAGCCTTCTCCTATTTTTATCTTCAGGCTCTTTTGCCTTCTCACTACTGTTACTTTTAATACTCTCTGCCACTTCACTACATGATCCTTCAGATTTTTCCTCATGCAGCTGCTCAAGAATAGCTTGACCCTCACTTACAGCTTCCTGGCATTTACCATCTGTTATACATCCTCTAACTAACTTCCAAAGTGGTATAACGCCACCCTCTAAGGTGCCTTGCTCACGAGCGAAATCTAGATCTTTCCCTAATTTGTCCCAGCTAGGAATCGTAAGACTCCCTGAAAAAGCAAACCAAGGAGCCGCTATATCAGCTTCTCTTAAAAACATCTGCAAAGTACTCTGCTTTATCTTAAGTCCTTTTGAATGTAACAACCCATCTAGGGCCAACAAAATTGGGCTTGAAGAAGCAACGCCCATAATGTTTTTAGAGCTATAAAGAAAGTGAAAGTACAAAAGTCCCCGCTCTCTTCCTTTTACAGGGGAGCGTCCCTGTCGTCACAACAACAAAAGAAGCACAAAAAACAAAAGCGAAATGACACAACAAAAGAAACACAGAAAACAAAAGCGAAAGTACACAGTGCAGCTGCAATAAAATGTAATGCTCTCTCTTTCTTTACAGAGGAGCTGCCCCGCTTTGGTCGCGGATCCCACTTACCTGGGACTAACCCCGCTTTGATAGCGGATCCCACTTACCTGGGACTAACCGGTGCACCACCCCTGACTGCTGAAAGTTCTGGTTCCCGGGTCTCGGCACCACTTGTCGCGACCCCTTGCCCGCAAGGAAGACGCAACTCGGGAATCTTCTTTCAACAGTTTATTCAGGCCCCTGATATTTCTTCTTCTCCTTCTCGGATGCCCCTCCCAGCCTTAATAAAGCATCTCAAGCCCCAATGCGAAGCTGCCACGTGGAGCTTTCTCATAGGGTGGTAAGGGATTGCGTGCCAATTCTCCATATAAGGAGTTGTTTATCACAGGCCACAGTGGAAGCCGGCGCCATCTTCTAATGGCGGCCACAGTCTATTAGAACGGCTCACCACAGACAAGTGCTGTAAGTAAAAGATACATAGTGCTACGACCCTCCTATCACCTAAATATAGCCTTACAAATTAGGAAATGTGCCCAGAAAGTACATTTCAATTAATATCTCAGACATGAACCAGAATTAATTAAGATAACGGTTCAGATAGAAGGAACCACGCGTCCTTCTAACCCTAATCTTTACAAAGAAAAATCTGGAAGCCAACCTAGACTTCATAGCAACACATACTCCATTGCCGGGTTTCTGTTCGCAATTAAAAGGCTCAGGGGTCACTCCAGGTAAACTGGGCTAACTGGGCTGTGCAAAATAACCACACAAGAAACACAAATATTTTTTTTCTTTTGGGTCGCTGTGACGGCTCCTCTGTCCTTAAGAGTCCGCAGGAAGAGAGAGAGAGAGCAAGCACGCGCTGACCCTTTTTATTGAGGAGAAGCTAATTCAAATGAGGCAAGGGGTCAGGTTTCAGGGGGCTGAGTCCAGCTTCATGATGTCCACTGTTAGCAGGTTGACTGACATCTATAGGCCACACCCAAGGGCATAGTAAGAGAACAGGACACATACAAGGTTCTTCAATGGAATATTCTACCCTAAACAGGGCAAGGGGTTATATTACAAAGGAACAGGTGAGCATAGCTTCACCCATGGGGCTGTAGGAAGCCACGCCCAGGCACAAAGACACAGTCACTCAAACCCTAGAAGAGCGTGGCAGTCTAGCAGCCTGGGTGCCTGAGGCCACATCGCCCAGCAGGGGAGTTAACTCAGTCACCTGTGTGAGGTTGGGTTCCCACACCCTGTGTCTCAATCTGCCCCTTCTTTCTCCATCCTCCCTGGGTAACACTGGTCTCCTTTCTCTTCAAAAGACTGGTTTTCCTTGGAGAACATGCACAACACTACCTGTATTCTCCTGGCTGGGGCACCTGCCATTTGCAGCCCTTCTTTTTAGGAGAAGATGGCCAGAATCTCATTGGAAGATTCTTCTGCCCAGAGGAATCAAAGCCACCATAAATAGCCATCTTAAATCTTAATATCTCAAATACTCAAGCCACCCTAAATCTTACTATCTCAAATAATTAACAAATAATAAAATACAAACACTCAGAAATATATTTACAAAAGTGAAGCCCCTGATAGATCTAGTCCACATGGGCTCTGGAACTAGACAAAGACAAAATGGCTCCCATGGTTTATTTAAGGGGGTACATCAAAGGCAGGGATAAGGTTCAATGGTGGAGTCTTGCTTTGTGATGCCTTATGGTCAGCAGGTTGCTTGACATCTTGGCAGGTCACCCTCATCCCAGGTGCTTGCGGGATCTTAGGCAGAGCTTGAGGGGGAAGTTCACCTGTATCAGGTGAGCAATCCCTGAGTGGGTGCTACAGGGAGTTCACAGGGCCAGACTTATCTCCTCATTAGACTCCTGTGCCCAATAGTCCACACACAGCCCACGCACAGCTCATGACACCCTCCCATTTCACCCTCATAGTGTAATGCCAGATTCATGGGACCCCAATAGAACTCCAGGAGCCGAATCCGATGCAATCACACAAGAATCTTTATAGCAAGCCCGAGCCTGACTCACAACTGTTTCCGACTTAGCGGTCCCAGGGAGTGAGTCCCAGTCCTTTGTTCAGTGAGATTTTATAGGTTTTGGGGGATACTCTGTGCATCACAACATCACACAGCAAATCATTACACACCGTGGAAAATCAACAACTCTTAACATTGATTAGCACATTCACTGGTGGGAACAAGTTGGGTAGGGGTGATTGGTTAGTACAAGAGGGGGATTCGTTTGAACTGATTGGTTTAGGCCACGAGGGGAGTACGTGCTAAACTACATGGTTTCCCAACACGTTATCAACCACCATAAACTACTGGGGGGTCATCTGGCATCATCCCAGGTATTTTCCCTGTCTCATGCTGATTGGAGGTTGCTAGGGGGGTTTGATGGGTCCTACCTAGCCTACCTGAATCAGGTACACCTGGTGCTACAGACCTCTCCTGTTATTTGTAGACAAAAAACTCAGCAGGGTGGGTATGTGCTTAGGAGTGCTCTGTGGGTCATTCCAAGGACAAGGGTCACGCCCCCTTCCTTAGGACAGGCCTTGAGGTAGAAGCTGCTGTTATTTATTTATTTTCAAAAATGGAGTCACATCAGTTTCTCAATAGACCATACTATTCTTAAGGGTAAGCAATGAAGTAAAATACCAAGAGTGGAGTGAAAAACAAGAAGGACATTGTCTTGAGCCAGCCATGTTCTGTAAGCTATGCACATTTGAGCATATGAGGGGACTGGCCTGACCCTACTGCCTGATTGGGCTGTGTGACATACATGTGCCCTGCCTTTGATCCCACACAGCACCTGAGATGGGTGTGGCTTTACAAGATGTCTGACAGTCTGCTGACCACAAGACACCACCAAGGAAGACTCCACCCTTCAAAACCCCCTTGCCTTATTTGGGTGGAACTTTCTCGAATGTTTTTTCCCCAATAAATAGAAGGTTTCAGGTGTGCTTGCTCTCTTGCTCCTTCCAGCACTGGAGCTGACCCTTGAGGTCAACAAGCCGTCCTGCCTTAGAAATTTATGTTCACGGGCTGTGTGGGGTGGTTTTTTTGTGGTTTTTTTGCCATTTTTTAGTTATTGATATAGCCAGCTCCTATGAACCCAATTTATATCACCAGTCGGGCCATCTGATGAGAGGACATTCTGAGCAGATACAACAAAATCAGAAAATTAAATATAAGGTTCAATGTAACTGTCAAAAAGAATTTCTTTAAAAATTTTTTAAATTATTTATTCTTTTAGATATACATGATAGTAGAATGTATTTTGATATATCAAATATACATGGAGTATAACTTCCCATTTTTTTGGTTGTACACCATGTGGAACTGTGATAGTAGAAGCAAATGTGACTCCATCTTGTTTTGTGACTCCATTCTGTAAAACAACCATGCCAAGGTGAAGGGTCATGACTGGGGCAAGATTTTTTTCCTTTTGCTACAGAAACCTTTAAGAACACAAAACTACCTAATGGGATATTGTTTCTGTAACTAGGGTAATGAGGCTCTGTTTCTGTAACTGGGGTGACTGGGCTAACTGTGACTGATTAAGCTTCCCTCCACCTGACCCCACTCTCCCGCCTCTGTAACCCGACTTGCTTGCATTGGCTGGACCCCCAAACATCCCTTTTGTGGTTTTCAGGCTTATAAGGAGTGCTCTTGCAATTGTTCAGGGATGATCAGGGGAACAGCTTTATGTTATGGTCAGCCACCACCGGTGTGCTTCAATAAAGGCTTGATTTGATTATACGTGAGTGGTCTGGAAGTCAGTTTATGAAACCCCGGGACGAAGCTTTAACTATAACATCTGGGGGCTCGTCCAGGATCCATTTCTTCCCTACCCTCACGCCAAATTTGCCTCCAACAATGGGCCTTTGGACCTCGGCCCCGGAGTAGAGGGGAGCTCCTGAGAGACGTTCCTCAGCCTCACTCCAGGGGGGACCACAATCTGTCCTGGGACACTCTGAAAAGCCTCCTGTTGGCCTGTCAGACCGGGTGAGTCAACTCCTCTAGGGAAAAGGTCAGATTGGACGCAGTCGCTTACATCTTTCCTGGGACAGGACAAGACGTTGTCAATGTCTCCCTGGAGAGCTCCCTGTGTGACCTCATCTGTCTCTATCTGGGGGCAGGACGAGACATCGTCTCTGTCCCACTGGAGGCCTCCCTGCAGGGCCTCATCTGTCTGGGGGCAGGATGAGACGTGGTCTCTGCCCCATTAGAGATCTCCCTGTATGACTTCAGCGATTGTTGCTTGTCCTGTGTCTGTTCTGCTGTTTGTAGTTTCTCCAGCGTCTTCTTGCTGTTTGTCATTGGTCCAGTGTCTGTTCCTCGGCCGTTTGTCCTGTTTATCTGTCCGTGTGTTGTGCGGGGCCCTTTTCTGGTTCCCATAACCGCTCTCTTTCATCAGGACTCCTTCCCTCCACCACATCATGGACAGGAAGCGCTACAGAGGTCTCTACCTGGACCCCTTTAACTTGTTTTCTTAACAACTTTCAAGACTTTGTCTGTTGGTTGGTTTTTGTTTGTTCCCTTTGTGTTCTGTGTTAATTTCTACCTCAGTGTGTTTCTAATGGAAAAAAAAAAAATGGTTAAGAAGGTTTTAACTGTGCTCACTACAGCTTGCATTAAAATGTAAAGTGCTGCCAACAGGACTAAAAGAATGGTCAAAAGTAAAAGCTAAAGGTAAAAAGAAAAAGGCATTCTAGAGATTGTCTTCATTTAGGAACTGGGCCAGGTGGCCAACAGGGTAGATCATGTCAGTTCCTGTAGAGGACAGATTAAAACTAAAGTGTTTTATAAAATTATTATTCCTAAATTGTATAACAAAAACATGGTTTTGTCTAAAAATATTTGGCTTTTGTCTCTCAGTATTTGCAAGCATGAATAACTCCCAACTATTAAAAAATGGTCTAAAGATTTTTCAATGTCAGGCTAAAAGTTGGTGGCCACCATCCAAGAAACCAGAAAAACCAGTTTAAAATGGGACCCCAACCTGGGGGACTCTCCCAAGGAGAACAATGAAGCTGCGTCTTTGGGAAGTTCCTCCAGGGAGAAATAAACCCCCTTTGTTTGTCTATGTTCCCTCAACTCTTTTTAGCTTTCATGAACAGGACCACCTCAGGAAAAAGGTCAGAAGACTTAAAATTCTATATTTGTTAAACTCATAATTTTGATCCAATATGCTTAGGTTAATATGTTTTTCTGATTACACTCTGCTTTATTCTAAGGCCAATTTACAAATGTTAACTCTCAATCTAATAAGTTTTTTAAAAAAATAAGCAATAAGGCTTT